ACTTTTTAATTTTTTTTAACAAATTATAATTATTTACATGTATTAATTAAGAGACAGAAAAAAGGATTTTGTGAGATTCAAACACGTCACCTACAAGAGATTAATGACCCTAATTCATGGTTTATGCCACTAGGTCGGAACGGGTTATTCATGTACATACTTTTTAATTTTTTTTTAACAAATTATAATTATTTAAATGTATTAATTAAGAGATGGGAAAATGATTTCGTGAGATTCAAATGCGCCACCTACAAGAGATGAATGACCCTAATTCAGGGTTCATGTCGCTAGGTTGGAACAGGCTATTCATGTACATACTTTTTAATTAATTAAAATAACTTATTTTAAATTTAACAATTGAAGTAGACATAATTTGATGACATGGCAATTAAAATGCTTGCTTGGACTCTTTTGGGCGGTAAAACGCCCAGCCATCAATAATATATCATTAAATAAATTAACTTCTTAATTTGTTAAGTAGGGTTTAGGATTAACTTGGCTTTAAATTGGGGGTTTAGGGTTTCTTTATTCTTTGAATTCATTTTCAATTTGTTGTTTCTTTCTTTTTCTTTTTCTTTTTTTATATTAGTCTTTCAATATCCAAAAATTACATTAATCTTCGACTAATTCAAGTTGATTCATGTTAAAACCTATTAGAGGTAAAGTTTTTTCACTACTTAACTTTTCATTCATAAAATTCGAATTCAAAATTTTATTTAAAAAAATCAAATTCCCTTAATCTAGACTAACAACTCATTGGTCTTCGATTCCTCTTCTTTGTTACACTCGCACTCTGGTTCATCCACACGTACATGTCAGCTGGTCATTTAATCCATGTCATGAAAATGGGCCCAAAATTTGTCACATCATATAGTAGTTAATAGAGAGTGGAGGAGAAGCACGGAATGCTAACATTTGCTTGCATTAGCAGTTAAATTTAGTTGATTTATTTTAATTGAAAAGTATATAATTTGATTTATTCCGATGCGAAAGTACATTGATTGAAAAATAAAAAATAATAATAATAAAGGGGACAGCAAATGTCAATAAGATAAAAAAAGTGCGTGAATGAAAACATCCTTCCATCGTTATCTCTCATAAGATGGGTTCAAAATTTAAATCTTGAAGGGCAGCATTCAGAAAATAAAAAAAGATAGATTATATGGGTGTGATTTGAGAAAATGAAATATTTATATTTGAATTAATTTATATTAGTGTAATTTTTTCTTTTTTTGATCAGCAAATCGAAATTTATTAAAATGGATACAAAACAGATATACACAATTACTCAACGCATCCAGACAAAATAAATCAGCACTACAAATCAGCTTAACTATGAAGTATTTAAACACATTCAATTAATTAAGAATTTGGTGAGCATACCTATATAAATTTATTAATAATATATTTAAATTAAGAGAAATAAAAAAGAAGGGATGAGAGGAGAATGGAAGGATGTTGAATCCTTGCCCTCGCCTTTCCTTCCCTCCCATTTCCTCATTTGAATGAATAAATAAATTAAAAAGAAAATAAAATAAAGAACTTCTCTTCACTTTCCTTCAATTCTTTTGATAATTAAATAAAAGAAAATTTTCTCCTCAACCTAAACATATTGTAAAGGTCTTTTAACTTGTTACTAAATAGATGAATTTAATTAAATAATTGATAAATTAAATATTAATTTTTATTTTTCTAGCACATATTATGACAAAAAAAAATACATTTGTTAAACTTTTCACATATGCCCTAAGGAGCATATTAAAAAAATCCATTTAGTAAATCTAACTATTGATGGGGTAAAATACAAACTATACTAAAATTCATTAAATATACATGATAATTATGTTTTACAGTCTAAATCATAATGAACTATAGAACATACATGGTTAGATAAAAGAGGACCCAATTCATAAAAAAGAAAAAGAAAAAGAAAAGAAAAGATAAAAGAGGACCCAAAAATTAGAGAATCCACCCTCATCCAATGCATAACAGTTTTCTATGTGTGTATATATATGTATATGTATATATTAAATTTTAATTAGAAGAAAAAAATTAAGATTACAAATTTTAATGGTTATATTAGTAAGTATCTTAATCAAAAGGAAAATAATCAATGTATTTTTTTATTCAATATATTTTATAATTTATTTATTAAAAATTATTATTTTAAATATAAATTCAAAATAAAAAATTTTATT